CAGCACACATCTACCCGTTTGCTAATGTCCAGTTAGAAGGCATTGGTTAATGGTTGATAGTGGTCAGTGTGTGTTAGGGAAACCGTTTGTATACCTTCCTCTGGCCTGTGTGTGAGTGTGTGTGTGTGTGTGTGTGTGTGTATGTGTGTGTGTATACATGGTTATCACCTGCAACCACCGCTATGGCCCCGCTATCTGGGTGAATCTGCTCTTGGTTTACTGAGGGGGAGTGCCAGGGGTTATCTGTCCCTCTCTGATATGCACAGATAAGAGCCTTGGGCCCACTGTTTAAACACCTGGGCCCCGAGGTATTAGACCCCTCAGAAACCCCTCTACCACAAAAGGAGAGGAAATGGAAGAGCGAGCGCTGGCTGCTGCTGTGTGTAAAAAAAACAGAGTGTGTGTGCGTGTGCCGAGGTTAATGCAGGGGTGATTATTTCCACCACTCCCACCTTGTACCCCAATACATCCATCACTACTAAAAATAGCAAAAACAGAGATTAGAGGCAGGAATGTATTGGCATCATGTTCCCCCTCCTCTCCCTTCAGGCTGCATTACGAAAAAGACAGCTTTGATGGTTATCACTAATGTTTAACGGCTATATGCTGGAAAAGCTCTCATTTAAAATAGCCTCTTTTTTCACTTATGTGATGTACATTACAGCGAGGGTCAGTCATTTGCATGAGAATGGACGATTAAGTGAAAGAGATAAACCCAAGGCTAGTTCCCGTGAATTGGATGTTGTGTTTGGAATACCAAGCAGCGGAGCCTTTTTTCTTTTTCTTTCCCCCTCGCCACGGCAGAATTAGCCCCGTGCATCATGCATTTATTTCCCCAATAATCACAAAGGCCCTTTCCTGAGGTTGATTATTTTCTCAGAGCAAGGGTTACTAAAATATTGCTGTAATCCTGTCTCCCTGCAGCAGTAACACCCTGCCTCCCTTTAAGGAATAAATCCCCGGCTTGTCAAGGGGGGGGGGAGGAGGTTGGACTGCTGGAGGAAAGATGTGGGGGGGGGAAAGTTGTTGTGGTCAGACGGGATTGCTTAGATTCCTTAGAAGCAGTCCACATGTATGGTAGCTGTGATGCATGGCCTATCATTAAGCTGCAATACATAGGTGCATCACTGATACCAGAAAAACACGTCTTTGATACCAAACAGAAGCCAAAATTCTACAATATTAACACAAGCAGCCATGAATGTACCTAAATATACATATATTTGATGTCATTGTGGAGCTTTATGATCAAAGAGAAAATTGCATTTTGAAAAGACGTTCAAGGACTGAAGGCTTTTTATCCGTACGGAAAGTGTGAAGGTTCAGATACTCAGTCCTACTTTAAGATATTCACTCACATTGCTAAGACTCCTTAGAAATCACTCTATATATACTAGGTCCAATACGAGGACTGAATATTTTTAATCTGTATTGTAAAAGTAATACTCATTCCTACTTCAAGATAGCACATCTTCTGCGTGTATATCTCTCTTTCTTCTATTTTCCATCCCTCACATGCCACATTGCCTAGTTTCCTTATAATTGGTAAGCATTCATCGTAGCTGTAATGCATGGCCTTGCATTAAGCTACAATACAAATACTACAGCCAATAAAATACCTGGGTTTCACAACTGATACCAGAAAAGAAGATATCTCATCGATAGCTAAGCGCACACTAACTTTACGTAAATAAACTAAAATGTGTATATTTTTTATTTCCTTTTGGACCATTTTGATGAAAGAGAAAGCTCAAAATTACGAATCTGACAAGACGTTTATTGACTGAGTGTTAAGGTCACAATACCCAGTCCTACCCCCCTGAATATATGTCTGCACCCCGTCCCACACACACCACTTGTGGAGCCTTTATACAATGCATTCAGTCTGGGTGTTTCTTTATGATACGATCCAGGGCACGGAGGAATGAAAGGCAGCAGAGACTTCAATTCAGACAGGAAGTGGGTACTTTCTGGTACGTTCATTTTAACATAGACACCTCACACCAATGACCCCATGCCACATCTGGAAACAATTATACTCATGTTTGACTTGACCTGCCTGCACCAAGTGAACTCTGCCAACTTGTTTTTTATGTGTGTGTTGCAGAGGCAGCGGTGACCCTGACACAGTGGCTGTTGGGGGAGTGATGTGTAATTAGTCCGAGTTACCACGACTGGTGAAAACATCTTGTATTCAAAATAACCAGGTGACCGGTATAGAAACACAAGCAAAAGACTAGTTGATGTGCTATCAAATGACCCACATTGGAATCTGTGAGGACACGAGGATCGTCTGAATTATCAAGCTTCTCACAGCGGACCTTTCATGTGCAGACAGCGAATGATGCAATGTTTGATTTCTACACTTCAGGAGGCTGTCAGGGCAGCGCGTACAATATTAAACAGTGTCGTGTCGGTGTATCAACTAGCCTAAATTAACCCATTAGCATGCTAGGGGAGAAGCGGGAAGATCAATGCATGAAACGGTTTGGAAATCTCCTTTGATACAAGATTTCCCAGCTTGAGCGAATTGATGAAATTCCTCTTGAAACACAGGCAACCATTTCACACGCCAGACTTCTTCTCAAGAAAGACTATTGTAAGCCGGTCCTTTAAAAACACAAGGAGACTACATTACAGAGGAAGCTTTAGTGCATGTTAAAGTTGCTGTTTAGGAAGAAGTTGTCGTTTTTTTTAAAAAGGCACATGGTGTCAAACCATGAACAAATTCCTCTTTTATTCCCAGAATAATAAGCACTCATCATGAAGGCCACACAGATTTGTACCAAAACTACAAAGTCTCTGATTCCACCGCTTGTATAAAATTCAGTACGAACAGAAACACTGCACAATAATCACTGTAAGGTCACATCTCCTTAGAGTGCAAAAGCTATTCTGTAATATTCAATATACAGACAACAGAGACAGACTTAAAGGACCAGGCATACCAAGACGCTGGCTCAAGTATAAGAGCATGGTGATTCAAATCCTCAAGTGAACTTTAAACACTGTGCATTCCTATTGATTCAAGCAAACATTCCAGGGTGAAAAGGTGGCCTTCCAGTGAGTAAAAAGGCTCACAGAAACACTGACTGTGCAATATCCACAAAGAAGTGACGCAAGACAATTCCTCAAGGTGTTTGTTAACAAATGCAATTCTTAAGAATATCTGCAGGTGAGTATTCTGTTTCCAGGGTCTTCATTTATTCAGATACATTGATCTGCACTGCGCCTCTTCTGTCCTGGAACCACCTCGGAGTCTCAGAGCCGGGGTTCAGTTCTCATTTCCTGGGCTGACCGTCTGCTCTAATGATCGGGCTAATAAAGGCCCCCCCTCTTGCGTGAATTATGGGAAAAGGGGAGGGGATTCGGTCCCAGTATGAGGGCGAACCACTTTGGTAAGTGTGTGTGATAGCTGCCGCCCACCTCTTGTAAGGCGTGACTAATGGGCTTCGACAATGTTACGACAACAGTCACCTGAGCCGGCTTTTTTGTTTGGAGTCAGCTCCGAGTCTGAGCCACACAGAAATAAGGTGTGTGTCCATCAACAGAGGACACTTAGTTATACCTTGCATGTGTGTGGTCGGGTCATTTTATACTTGTCATGGTCACTGACTAGGAGCATCAGCTTAAGACAAAAGACAGAACAAACTTACTCTATTTGACACTAACTGAGCCTTAAAAATATATACGTTTTAATTCCCAATGGAAAACAAGTGACTTACAACAGGAGTCCCTTTCACCCTAAGCAATCATGTTAATGAGCATTATCAATTCAAAAGGTGTTCTGAGGACAAAAGACTTTCCTTTCTGGTGGACACGATGAAAACTTGTTAATACAATACAAATTTGATTTACTCGTCATAATCACTGAGACTGGCAGAAAATGTACAAACTAAATTACTGTTTTCTACACTGAGCATGCACCAAAAAGATGTACTTTTTAATTCCTAATGAATGACAAGTGACTTACACTTGTGGAAGTGTTCAAATGGAGTCCCTTTCACCCAAAGCAATCATGTTAATAATGATAATTAAAAAGGTGTTAGGAAATGTTAAGGCCAAAAGACTTACATTTCATACACCAATAAACATTTGATTTACTCGTCATAATCACTGACGTGCAAAATTGGTGAAAGGCAAAAAACAAAAACAACCAATTCCATCTCTTCTCCACAAACCATGGCTTTAAAAGCTGTGCTTTTTCATTCCTAAGTAAAAAGCAGGTGTCTTCCCATGAGGGAAACCTTATAATTGAGTTCCTTTCACCCAAAGCAATCATGTAAATAAGTATTATTAAAAAAGGTGTCTGAATTTGTGAGGCCAAACGACTTAAGACTTTCACTCTCTACGAGACAAACTGCAGAGGTAATCTTGCAAACGCCATTAAAAATGTGATTCATTAGAGAAAAAACAAACAGCCGCACCAAGGACGAAATAATAAGCCAGCAGCAGCAACTCAAAAATAAAGAAAGGTGTCCTACCTGTGCTGCAAATAAGTCATAGTCACTTACTAGGGACATTAGCTTAAGAAACGCAGAAAAAGAAAGAACAAACTTACTCTATTTGATACTAACTGAGCCTTAAAATATATATTTGTTTTAATTCCTAATGAAAAACAAGTGACTAAGTGTTCAAATGGAGTCCCTTTTTACCCATAGCAATCATGGTAATGAGCATTGTTAATTAAAAAGGTGAAATAGTGAGGCCAAAAGACTTGCTTTTCTGCTGGACACGATACAAACTTGTTAACACCAATTAAAATGTGATTTATTCGTCATAATCACTGATAAAGGCAAAAAATGCAACAACTAAATTCCTGTTTTCTCCACTGAGCATGGACCAAAAATATGTACTTTTTGATTCCTAATGAAAAACAAGTGACTTACACCTGTGGAAGTGTTCAAATGGAGTCCCTTTCACCCATAGCAATCCTGTTAATAATGAAATAATAAGACAGCAGCAGCAACTCAACAAAAAAACAATCAAACTCGTCTTACTTGTGTTGCTCCACAGCCTCGTTATCTGGAAGTTCTATGCCGCACACGTTGCATCGCTCGTGCTGGTTCCTGCCGTCCGGTTTCATGCCGACCGCCAGTTCTCCCAGCTTGCTGAAGAACTCTCTCTGGATGAAGCTCTGCGGCAGGAGAGCCCCGTAGGCGCTGAAGTCCATCGACATGGCCAGGGCCGGGGACATGGGCAGTTGAGAGGCCATGGACGCTGCCATGGCCGCCGGCATGGACATGAGGCCATCCGATTTGTGATTGACGGGAAGGGAATAGAGCGAGGCGAGATGTTTCTCCGTCATCCCCGCCATTGCTTCCAGCCCCATTTGGCTCATGTCAACTTGCTGGTCGTCGCGGACGTAGTGCAGCTCGCGGGCGCTGGTGATCACGCTGCTCCTGGTCGGGGTTCCCGGTCCGTCTCGGTTCCTGTCCTCGCCCATTCGCTCTCCGTTGCTAGAGGCGCTGGACTCCATGTTGGGCGGGCTGTCGTGGCCGTTGCCTCCCATGTCCACTTGCATCATCTCGGTCTTGATCTCGGTCATCAGCTGGTTGGAGTTGGCGTGGTGGAGCAGATGTTCCCCGCCGAAGCCCTGCTGGAGCAGAGACTGTCCGATGCTCATCAGACTGTCCACGGCAGCTTTAGTGGGACTCAGGTTGGACATGCCGAAAGAAGTGGAAACAGACGGGCTTTGATCAACCATTCCCGTCATGATGGCCATCTGCTGGGCTCCGGTCAGATAAGACCCCTCCATGGAATGCTTTTTGGAGTTTTTGGCTCCGTTGTGGCCTTTGCGGTCGTCTTCTTCCTCCGCGCTGCCTCCGACCTCCACGTCGTTCTCATCCGAGGACTGAATGGTCTCCAGGATCTTGAGGCATTGCTCTTCCAGGTACTCGATCTCCAGGATCTCCGCGGCGTAGAGAAGGTCGTCCAGGTCCTCCACCTTGGCCTGCAGCGTGGCAGTGTAAGCGTACTCCAGAATTTGCTGGAAAGTCTTTGGTGAGAGAAAGTCCAGGGTGTAGTGGTGGCTGCTGCGGTGGAAGAGGATCTCGAACATTTTGCTGGTGCAGGCGAGGACAGTTCGGTGAGCGTGGAACTCCTGGTTGTCCACCATGATGACCACGTCGCACAAAGTCCCCGCCAGGCGCATCTGGTTGGCCTTCAGCAGGAGGCCGGTGGGATGGTTGGGGTTCTGGAGCTGGATCATACCCATTTTAGATAAATCCATTGTGTCGATGCAAGCCACGAGGCCAACTCATGAGGCTCGCCTTCCCCGCTCTGCCGTGATTTTAGCTATCTTTGTAAACAAGATGAAACCTGGAAGGAGAGCGGAAAGAAAAGTCAGTTCAGCTGAAGCAATTTTGTGTTTCAAATCCAGCAATTGCAAACCAATCTTTTTCCCAAAAAATGAATATAGGAAATTCAATCCCCAAACAATCATCTGCTTTACTCTTATTATCCTCCTGTGTTTCACCTACGTGGATAAATAAAGTGTACAAGGCAGATTCTTTAATTGCATTTTGCACCTAAAACATGTTGTGAATTTGACAATGCATGTATTGAAAGTCCACCATTGTTTGTGTCTTAAATGGTATGTGTGAGGTCAGTGGAGTTTCAAATTGCAAACATCCTGCAGGGATGGTAAACACACTCTGCAGTCGCATTGTTCTCAAAATCAGCGGAGAGTATTGACTGTAGATTTCTGAAGAGAGACAATTTGCAAGCCGTCCAACAGGCTCCCCCTGCATACCAATCACCCCCGACATATGTTATGTTCAAAAAGAGGTCTTCATTTGGTTATCTGATGGGGATGTACACACAGTTAAACAAGTGTGAATCGTGTTTTGTCTCCACTGCTGCTGCTTGGTTCACAAAGGCCGTCAGCAGCCTTTCTGAAATTAAATAGCATCTTACTCAGTATTCTCATCACAGAGCAGAGAGCAGCGGCCAGAAATGGATGGCAGCAGAACACAAAGCTGCAGCAACAAACACCCTGCTCTCATTTGCTAAATATCCAAATAAACGTGTGTGTGTGTGTGAACTCCTTTTAGATAACACAGCAACATGTTGCTTCACTTGATATCTGCAGCACACTCTGACCAACGCAGTTAAAATGTGTGTTTTAAATGAAGGACTGTCTCCTGTTCATTCAGCCGTCATTATGACCTACACTGAGACAATGCTCTCTTCATTGCTACAATTTAAATAAGCAGTCTTCATATACTCTAAATGAATGGGTGAATGAATGAATGGCTAAGTGCCTCCATTGACCCACATTGTGGATGAGCTTCATTGATGTCCAATTTTTTAATCAACATGTGACACATTTTCTATTTGGAAAATAAGTCTTATTTCCATTTCAATTTCATCCAAGCTGGTTTTTTTGTTGCTTTACTCGACAAATAGGGAATAAATAGAGAAGTTTGTGAGCACTTCTCTTTTTCCTTCCTCCCCGTTTGAGAACAATACACACTCAAACTGAAAAGAGGAGGACATATCATCCAGACTTTTCCTTAAAAAACAAATAATATCACTCCCAGAGGACAGAAGCCTAAATCAAAGCGGTTGTAAATGATGCAAAATGTGCAACATGATGGGGATTAAAATACTCTTTGTGGCTTTTTTGGGGCAGTTGATGAAAATCGATAAAATCAGGTGATGGTGAAACCACAGAGTACACAGAGGTCATGCCTAAAACCAGACATTACCTTTATTACAGGTATGCCAATAGCTGCGATGTATGGCCCCGTAAATGATCAATACTTGTTGCGCTCCAACAAGCTGTGGCTGCACAATGTAAAGTTCCTGTTTTTTGTGTGTGGTGGGGGGGGGGGGGGGGGGGGGGGGGGGGACTTCACCAGCTCTCTATTAATAAAAAAGCACGGCGCGTCTAGACAGCGTTAATATTGCCCAGACAAATTATACAGCGCGTTATGCATTATGCAAAACATCGCACAGTACATTAAGTGCGTTAAGCAGGAGAGGTTTCTCCCGCTGGAGGACAATGTAGCCCGCTGACAATAAGCACACAGAAAGCAGCATAATCAATCTGATCACGAGCTGTCTGCCTCGCGCGCCTTGGCGACCCAGCCACAACACGAATAAACAGCGTTCAATATTCCAGACACACAACGATGTGCAGAACGCCAAATGCTACAGGGAGACAATCAGAGAGCTCTTCCAAAAAAACAAAAAAAAAAAAGTAGACAGACAGCTGCCAGAATCTCCCGCACAGGTGGACTTTGTTTGAGGCGGAATGAAATGTGTTTAACATTTATGAGAAGGAGGAATTATCCGGAGGAAGGATAAAGAGAGTGAAAGGGGAAAGAGAGGGATCAGACAGTCTCGATAACAAATCAATTTGCCATTGCATCTGTTACCAGTTTCCCACCTCACAGCGCGCGGCTGCTGCACATCGATTACCAGTAACCAATCAAAGCCTGTCAATCAATGCACACCGTACAGTACGGAGGGAGTATTTGGGCTTGTTTTCGGCTAAAAGACCAGAGTCCTCATCATGATGTCATCACGGCTAAATGAGCCACACTGGTGCGTCTGGGGACACAAGGACGAGGCAACAGTGTCGCTGTCTAAAAAAGGCACAATTTCACATGAAAACGCGTGTAAATGTGTCCGGTAAAGTGACATGGAGCGTCATATGTTGTCTGTCTGCTGGGGAAAGAGCCAGACCTCACGTCCTCGCGCTGCGATCTCCAGCATACTAAACCACACCGACACACAGAGCGAGAGGTTGGGGAGGGAGGGGGGGTTACGTCAACCTTAACATCTCTACAATACACGTTAATGCAAACTTCAACACCTTGCAGCGCAATCAGGAAAAACACTTGTTTCCAGCCGCTCCGGCGCGCGGATAAACTCTCAGTGCCAAAGTCGCGTTTCAACTTCAGCGTGAGGTTGCACGGGGACAAACGTAACAAAAATCCCCTCAAACGCATCAAAATACGCACATGGTGAATTAAAGTACACAGAGAAGACAGAGGTGTGCGCGTGCAGAGACGCGGACCTGGCACTTGTCACCGGGGAAACCGCAGCTGTTAACCCGGGTTAGTACTCACCTAAGTTGCACGTTTTTTGATCCGGGATAGTGCAGGGGGAGCGGGGCTACAGCATAGTAAGGCAGTTCGCATAAACCCGCTCTCTCAACACGCACTAACTCCTTTCTTCTCTCGCCTTAGCAAATCAACACGGCGCTGACGTCACAGAGCCAGACGAGCAGCCGGCTCGCGCTGCAGACACACACACATACACACACACACCCATATATAAACACACACACACTGAGAAAGTGAGACACCTAGGGGGCTGTCTCGTGTCAAACGGCTGTGTTACTGTACGGCAGTGAAAGGTGAGCGACACTGCCCCCCCCCTCCAGCTGTTTGAATGCACAGTAATCAGACTGCACGAGACGCATTGTGGTCATATAGGAAATATAGGCTACATGTGGTGGGATTTAATAAAGGACATTTATTCAAGTACTGTACTTATAATAATGTAGTGGAGTAACACGTGCAATGCTGTGTTTGAATACTTAATGTACTGCTGCTGGATATCTTTAACTATAATTATATTGATTTGTAAGTTTGTTTATGTCTTGTATTAGTTAATAATCTAAAAGTAAATAAATACAGTGGAAAAAATGAACGTAGTGGAGTAAAAAGTATAATGCTGTGTTTAAATACTTAATATACTGCTGCTGGATATCTTAACATATAAGTATGTGTATGTTTATTTATTAGTTTGTTTATATCCTGTATTCGCTAATAATCTAAAAGTAAAGACAGTGGAAAAAATGAATGCAGTGGATTAAAAAGTGCAATATTGATTGTGGAGCTACTTTTAATTTCTTTATATACTGAGGCTGCTGGATATCTAAACCTCTTATTATATGTATGTTCATTTGTAAGTTTGTTCATATCTTGTATTTGCTAATAATAAAGTATATAAAGTGGGGGGAAATGAATTCAGGAGGAAAATGTACAATATTATCTTATATTATCTACCGAAAATGTAGTGTAGTGGAATATATATAAAATATACAGTATAATAAAATGGACATTTCTTGAGTGAATTGCCTCAAATTGCACTTTAATTATCAGAAAACAGGATTTCAAAATTCTGATTGTGATTAGTCAATATATTCTGAATATTTAAATGGATTTATTGCAAGCCAAATACTTTTTTTGAAAACCAAACATACTGAGTTAGATAGATATATAGATAATAGTTATCCATATCAACAGGTCTCAGTGGATTACATATATATAATTATAACAATGATATTTGAATAAACATAAGAAGTTAAAGTAAAAATATGTAAAAAAATATGCATATATTTCTAGAAACGTAAATTAAAGTAACATTCTCAATAAAAGAAAAACAAATACAATTTAGTTAAATGCACATTGTTCAGCAGATACCAAATATTACAATATATACATTTGTGTATTTGTAATAATCAATGCTATGTTAGAAACGACTATCATCTAACCATGCAAGAAAGGACGGGAACTTAATCAGTGGAAATGAATCCATAATGTTCAATTATACGTTAAGTTAAGCACATTAATAAATCCTGAAATTAGATGTTTTTGTAAGACGGGAGAAAGTACCTCACATTAGATTTAAAGAAACTAATGCCATTTTATTTGTTCTTCAGAGGAAGTCTGGTTTTAATATAATGACACTAATTTAAAGTAAATAAAAGCATCTCTGGGAACGAGTGGCTCTTCTTTTGTTGTCTAATAAAATCCTCCCTGATGGATCTGGTGACGGACGCTCCGCAGTGCATTAACAGAGATTGTTTCTCCGCACAGATTTCATTTTCCTCTTCTCTGTTGACCAACACCTCATTATTGTTTGGAGTCTTTTGTAGTAAAAGCATACTTTAAAAGCTTCTCTGATCATAAACTTTATTGATACGTTTTCCTTAACGACGGTCACTGAGTGGAGGCAATTCCTTACTTTTTATTCCTATTGTTTTTTCCCTTTAAGTGCTCTTGAAAGTCACAAATACAGATTGTCTAACGTTAAAGTGCTTTATTTTTCCTTTTAGTTTGATTTAAAATGATGGTTGCATTAGTTGAAGGAAGAGGAGAATATGTACGTTTATTTCTTTGTCATATGTCTGCTTTTGACTTTGTTTATTCCAAAACTTTTATGTAATGTCGTCACAGTTTTAAAAAAAAAGTTATTCCACTGACTTAAAGAAGACATATTATTCTAATTATCAGATGTATATCAGTATTTAGTGTCTCTACTTTAAAGAGTCCTCTCCTGCTGATGTTCAGGTGTATATCAGTATGTAGTGTCTCTACTTTAAAGAGTCCTCTCCTGCTGATGTTCAGGTGTATATCAGTATGTAGTGTATCTACTTTAAAGAGTCCTCTCCTGCTGATGTTCAGGTGTATATCAGTATGTAGTGTCTCTACTTTAAAGAGTCCTCTCCTGCTGATGTTCAGGTGTATATCAGTATGTAGTGTCTCTACTTTAAAGAGTCCTCTCCTGCTGATGTTCAGGTGTATATCAGTATGTAGTGCATCTACTTTAAAGAGTCCTCTCCTGCTGATGTTCAGGTGTATATCAGTATGTAGTGTCTCTACTTTAAAAGAGTCCTCTCCTGCTGATGTTCAGGTGTATATCAGTATGTAGTGTCTCTACTTTAAAGAGTCCTCTCCTGCTGATGTTCAGGTGTATATCAGTATGTAGTGTCTCTACTTTAAAGAGTCCTCTCCTGCTGATGTTCAGGTGTATATCAATATGTAGTGTCTCTACTTTAAAGAGTCCTCTCCTGCTGATGTTCAGGTGTATATCAGTATGTAGTGTCTCTACTTTAAAGAGTCCTCTCCTGCTGATGTTCAGGTGTATATCAGTATGTAGTGTCTCTACTTTAAAGAGTCCTCTCCTGCTGATGTTCAGGTGTATATCAGTATGTAGTGTCTCTGCTTTAAAGAGTCCTCTCCTGCTGATGTTCAGGTGTATATCAGTATGTAGTGTCTCTACTTTAAAGAGTCCTCTCCTGCTGATGTTCAGGTGTATATCAGTATGTAGTGTCTCTGCTTTAAAGAGTCCTCTCCTGCTGATGTTCAGGTGTATATCAGTATGTAGTGTCTCTACTTTAAAGAGTCCTCTCCTACTGATGTTCAGGTGTATATCAGTATGTAGTGTCTCTACTTTAAAGAGTCCTCTCCTGCTGATGTTCAGGTGTATATCAGTATGTAGTGTCTCTACTTTAAAGAGTCCTCTCCTGCTGATGTTTAGGTTGTATATCAGTATGTAGTGTCTCTACTTTAAAGAGTCCTCTCCTGCTGATGTTCAGGTGTATATCAGTATGTAGTGTCTCTACTTTAAAGAGTCCTCTCCTGCTGATGTTCAGGTGTATATCAGTATGTAGTGTCTCTACTTTAAAGAGTCCTCTCCTGCTGATGTTCAGGTGTATATCAGTATGTAGTGTCTCTACTTCAAGAGTCCTCTCCTGCTGATGTTCAGGTGTATATCAGTATGTAGTGTCTCTACTTTAAAGAGTCCTCTCCTGCTGATGTTCAGGTGTATATCAGTATGTAGTGTCTCTACTTTAAAGAGTCCTCTCCTGCTGATGTTCAGGTGTATATCAGTATGTAATGCCTCTACTTTAAAGAGTAGAACAGTCTGCTCTGATTGGTTAGCTGGCCGGCTCTGTTGTGATTGGTCAACCGCTTAGAGATGTCCCGCCCCTTAGCCTATCACCTACAATGTGTCGGAGCGCTCGCCAATAGGAGAGTGAGTGTTTGATAATGATGTCACTATGTTACTGAAGTAAATGTATTAAGTTACATTCCAACAGAGTGAGTCTGCAACACATCACTCAGCGTGTCAACCAACCAATCAGCTGTAAGTATTTTAAGTAACATTTTTGAGGCTCTTTACCTGAATATTTCCATTTAATAAAAAGCTCCACCTTTACCAGCTGTGATGAACTCATTGCCACTGATTATGTACTTTTAATAAAGATATATTTTGAATGCAGGACTTTTTCTTGTAACAGCGATTTGTAAAATGAAGTATGGCTCCTTTTACCTTAATAATAAAGTGCTTCCTCCAGGGAAGGAAGTTGGTGAACGTGGTTCTGTGTTTAAGGTCAGCCTGTCTGACCTCTGAAGATCATATCAGATCAACGATGACAGACATTACACAGCTGTCCTCTTCTGCTGGAAACACTTCTGCTTCTTCCTGTAATACTCAGTGTAAGTCTTCAACGTGTGCAGAGAGAAGTCTGAGATACTTCAACAATCTGTGAGAACTGTGCACTTATTTTGTGTCTCTTTGTTATTTTGTGTGTCTTTGACATCATTTTGTGTCCCTACTTAGTAACTTCAAGTCTTTTTGTTTTCATTTTAGGTCTCTTTGTAATTGATTTTACTATTTTTGTGATCAATGTGAGTAACTTTGTTTCCATTTTGTCGCTTTGCTGTTATTTTTAAATTCTTTTTGGTCATTTTGTGGGTTTTTTAAGTTATTTTGAGCGTGTTTGTAGTCATTTCGACATTCAGAATATGCAATAAAATCCTTTAAGATCGTATAAAAATCCTATTTGACAGTGGGACCATCTATCAAATCTAGTCTAGTCACCGCCACAATAAACTGTATGATGGTAACTTTGATAAAACCTTAAAGAATAAGTCGAACATAGAACAATGCAATCTGTGAAGGTACAGAACCAGGTTTATTTTGGTCTACATTTTGTGTCTCAGTCGCTAAAATGTGTCGTTTGAACTTTCACTTAAAAAGTACAGCAAACCTCACACTTGAGTGCAATACATTTGTGATGTGATTATTGTGACTCAATTTGTTTTCATGTTGTCTCTTTGCTGTTATTTTAATGTATTTTGTTTCTTTAAAGTTATTTTGAGCTTGTTTGTAGTTCGAAATGTTGCATTTTTATATTCGTTTTCACTTTAAAAGCACATTTCAGGAGCAAACCTCACAATCGAGTCTAATTTTAAGCTGCAACAGGTCTGCGTTCCTGCTCACAGTTTATGGCTGTTTGAAAATGGAAAGCATAGGTTTGAATGGGGGGGGGGGGCGGGCTTTGACGGAAATCTAATTTCCTTTAAAATACAGTGGAGCTCTGGGAATTTTTAGATTCATCCGGGCGCGGATCACAGAGGGCTTCATTACCTTTGAGCTGCGTGCTGTGCAGGCTTACCCGGGGATAAAGAAAAAGGCACTCCCTTAATCTGGAAATAATCCACCGTTTTACTGAGGGAGAGGAAGATGAGGGCCAAATTATAA